CCCTTGGTTTCATTAATGCGATGCATGCGTTCCATGATGTTGTATTGCACTCATTGATCTACCAGTTATGTTGAATGATTTCTCTTTTAATATCAATTACTCACAAATACTTCATATATTTCAATCATACAAACAACTGCTCATTCAATGTGTGACGGGCGTATTATATACCGCTCGCGGTAACCTTGTTTAGTAAATAAAAGTGAAAGGCGAAAAATGTCCTGGGCCCGTATTCATGAAACCCTGAACCGTTCTCCTGCTCAAGCAGGGATTCTGTGCTTAAACTAGTTTTCTTGTAAGTCGCTTAAATCATGCCAAACAATCAAAAACTCAATGTAAACATTGAAAACAGTATTTGGCTTAAAGTCTCTTAATATTTTCCCAAAATCATTGACAAAATATATAAGATGAAGATATAGGCTGGAGCACAAAATCCATGCTTGAGCATGAGAACGGTTTCATGAATATGGGCCCTGGTATACACTACATGTACACTACACCCTCAGTTCTCCAGGGAAGGGCCATTGTAGAATAATAAATAATGAAGATACTGGAGTCTGATTGAACGGTTTCCATGCAATAACTGTTATTCATATTATGAATGATATATGAAGCTTCTCAATTCTTGCTAGCTATCATTTTAATAGCTGCCCTGAAAATCTTAATCTGATTGCAACAAAATTTAGTATGCAGATTCATATTGACCAAATTTGATACAAACTTTATATCAGGAAATTTTCACCCAAGTTAAACTTTTGTCTTTTTTTCCCTATGTAATGAAGGAACATTTAGCATCCCAACAAATGTTAGTACAAAGTTATAACACAGGAAAGGCTAAATTGAAATAATTAGAAACAAAACCGATAAAAATCAGGTCCGGGGGCTTCCTTTTGTCTCGCCCCCATGAAGTGGAAGCGAGACCTAAGTCTTTGTGTTTACCGGGGTAAGTTAGTATTTTTTGGTCCTAAATGACTTAAAATTGTTGACGGGCTGTGAAACAATAGAATTTAAACAAAACAAATCTAGATTTGACATGAAGATCCTTAATAGTATTACTTGCAGGATTTTCTTGCTGAGACCCTTTTAAACATTTGTTTATATTTTTGGATACTTGTAACGTCTCAGACTCTATCATTAGTACCAATTAGGATGTTGCGGTATCTGTGCTGTAGCATTCAAGTGAGATGGCACTATAAATGATGCCGTTGGTAGCACAGTCCCACTACAAACAGAACACATTACATCTCCAGCACACACACCGTCATACACACATAGGGAGATATTAGCCAGGTGGCATAGCACTAGTAGTAATTAGTGCCTGATAAGGCAGCTCCTGCAAATTCCTCTAAAGATTTATTGATTAATGTGTATGCTTATATTGTATTAATTGTATATCTATTTATTGTAAAGTGCTTTAGAGTGGCTTATGTTAGCTAGATCAAATGATGTATATTATTATTATTATTATTATTACCACACACATACACATATATAATAGATCTATTTAAAATCAAACCAGTGTTGATTATAAAATTCATATACCGTAACTAAAATTCATGCTTGCAGGGGATCTCAGTATCATTGGATTCTCTTTGGTATCAAGTTGCGATGTCATATGAGGTTTGTAATTGTCAATATATCTGTGACGAGTGCGTCATCCAACGTGGAGGACGGAACAGTGAAAGTTTATTGGCAGTTAGTCGGTGTCACTCAGACCTACTTCTTCAGAAAGTTATGGAAATCCTTCGGCAATTACCAGGCTGTGGTGGATAATGCAGAGTAAGTCATGAATCTTACTCGAATTAAATATTGATCAGAAATTTATATAAATCAATATGTATTCATGATTTTTTAGCTTAACATATTTAATGATAAGAACAAAGAAGAATTACCTGCTGGTTAAGTATTCCTAGTAACGAATTTCTTAATATAAACAAACAAGTTTGAGGGAGTGATTATTTTCACGAAGGAAGAGATATATTCAATAAAATCAAGTGTTATTTTATTCTAATTAAGTACATTGTATACATGTGTATTGAAGGAATCAAATAGCTCATTATGAATGTGCATTACTGTTAAGGTTCAAGATTATCAGTTATCTCTGTGTCTTTTTATCTGTTTATCAAACTGAACATTCTCAGTCTGAACTTCATTTGATGAAACCTGGATAAGGTGTTAATGTTATGGCAAGACATTATGTCAAAAAACACTGAACTACCTATAGTAATGATTATGATCACATGGTCAGGTCAATAGCACGAGGTAAAATATCAGTCACTGCAATGCTTGTTCCAATCATAATGTTACTTTTTAACTGCTGTAGTGACTGCCAAGTATTTGAAAGATATACATGTTGACTTCATTTGGAAGTGTATTCTTGACTTTAACATATAAATGTTTTTGTTAAAGAGCTGTATTGTTGTGTTTTCATAAAACACTCAATTTCAAGGATTGCTAGTTAATAGTGATATCGCGATATATCATTGAATGGAAAATATTGTAATTTCTATTATAAAGCGTTCTGTATAAAACTTGGAATTCTCACTTTTCAGGTATTATGGTGGTGTGTCTGTGTTCCATATCAACAGTGAAGGAAAGATTTACAGACACAGAGTAGATCGGGTAAGATCAAGCTTCTCTAGATGTGACATTTGAAGATTTCTCTCCAGATACATTACTGTGGCATTGTAGACTGGGTTACATAGAACTTCTCTTTAGATACATTACTGTGGCATTGTAGACTGGGCAACATAGAACTTCTCTCTAAATACATTACTGCGGCATTGCAGACTGGGTTACATAGAATCTCTCTCCAGATACATTACTGTGGCATTGTAGACTGGGTAACATAGAACTTCTCTCTAAATACATTACTGTGGCATTGTAGACTGGGTAACATATAACTTCTCTCTAGATACATTACTGTGGCATTGCAGACTGGGTAACATAGAACTTCTCTCTAGATACATTACTGTGGCATTGCAGACTGGGTAACATAGAACTTCTCTCTAGTTCTATTTCTTTGGCATTGTAGACTGGGTAAGATAGGATTTCTCTAGATCCATTCAAGTGGCATTGTAAACTCAATAAGATAGACTTTCTCTAGATACATTACTGTGGCATTGTAGACTGATTAGATAGATCATTTAATTGATCATGATATAGAGAATACATTTATGTTATACTGTATATAAGTTTTAAACTGGTGTATGAATACAGCTTCAGTGAGAAAGATGTTTTGCCAGTCCTTACCAAATGCTAAGAAGAATTTAGATTTATTGTTCAAGCGATCCATAAAAAATATGTTTGTTGCCAACTGCGTTCATACAACCGTATAAGCCGTCAAAAGGTAAGTGATCCATAAAGAATATGTTCGTTGCCAACTGCGTACATACAACCGTATATACCGTCAAAAATGTAGGTGAATCCTTATATTTACATTCAAAAAATGTTTAAATGCTACATTACGCAGAAAAAACAGTCGAAGCGGGTTTCCACGATGGTACCTACGGTAGCCATGGTTGCTAGGACAATATATAGTTCCAATGAATCTACATCGATATATGAGTAAATTAAGAAAAAAAGCAGTGAACAACACTATTATCTTTTTCCTTTCATTGTTTTCTAAATTTTAAATTAAGCAATGTGAGATGCCCTTCGAACTTTTCTATTCATTTACAACGGTCATCATGTACGTGTATTGACACACTGCTCATGGAGTGGCGCGGTCAAAACGAAGCCGCCATTATTGACATTACCACCAAAGAAATTTGAATGTGCGTCCATAGAATAAGAAGTTTGTCAGCATTCTTTTGTTGTATAACTATACATAATGGATCCCGAATGTGTTCTATGTATCTAGATGGTGAATGATCCAAGCATTGGTTGTCATTGGACTGTTATCTTGTTGAAGCGTGAACGGCGCCATATTTGAAACAAGTATCAATCCGCCGAGCCTTTTTTCGCTGCGTATATACGGTAATTTATACGCAGTCATAGTTTACTAAGCTAAAGAAAGGAGACATGTGAATATATAGACATGAACTATCTCAACTCTTAGTTGGTCTCAATTATCAATTTACATTTTACTTACAGATGGACCAGGTCAAGGAAGGAAAGGCAGTGAGACAACCGGAAATGGCAATGGCTTAACAATATTTTGATCAGGAGTTTATGGTTACATGTACCTCTAAATGAAGGATTTGTATGCATTACTTGGATATTCTTTACACCTCAGTGCTGTGCAGACCAATTGTTATGCCCTGTTGTATGTTTAGGTATTACCGTTAAGCAAGCTTATCCCACATAAAGTGCTACACCAGATCAAGTTTTGCCCGTCTCATTTATGTCTTATACATTATACAAGTTGAAACATTTGATATCACTACCATAGGAAACATTTCAAGTGGCATTTTAACAGGCAATTTCTTTATGGAGGAGGATCACACTAGAAGGTTTGACTATTTGAACTGTTTTGTCAGTTCTGCCAAGAACATTTTCAAAAATCAGTTTTTGAGGGATCCTTGATGGCAAGGTGTTCTGTTTATTGTTGTTAAACAGTAGGATAAGACAGACTACACATCAATATGCTACTCTGGTTTTTATATTACCCTGTGTAAGAAATGTCTCTCATCCATCCTTTTTTACTTAATTAATATGATTACACTGTCATTGTAAAACCAAGGCCATATTGTTTCCTCCATTTGGAAACTTAGCTACTAAACTGAGATTTCTTGAGCAAGAACATTTATGCTCGGGCAGCATTCTTTGACTTATGTTAAGGGCTGATCACTGTTATAAGAAGGTTTGATTTATTTATTTTTTAATTAGATAATGTAACATATATATACAAAATTATAAAATACTTCATACCTGCCAAATCATCTGCCTTTGTGCTAGGTAGAATATCTTTTGCAGTTGCACTGCCTATTGAAAATGTTTTAAGAATTAACATACCTGTAAGAAAAGGACATACTAGTTAATTAAAAGGCAAACTTTAATACATACATGTACCCGTAGTATAAATGCTGTAAATGTATTACTGATTTTGATGACATTGAAAAGTTATCCTGCAATTTATATTACCCAGTGGCTTGACCATTTTGACCATCTTCAACCCTCATATCATTGTCGAAAACTTGGCAGGTAGGTATGGGAAACAAGTTTAAGGTACTAAACAATATTCCTGCAAGCTATAAGATGCCTGTAAGATAGCTGTTGGATTAAGGACAGTTGTAGACTTTTATTTTCCAGTTTGTTAATATTAGAACCATATGGTGTTGAAGGAGGGATTGTTGCCAGTCAAAGACTAATGTAGCCGTTCGATGAAACTTTATGTGACGTTAATTTTTTCCTTGACCTGAAATATGTGCATGATTGTTTCAGAACCACTGGGCCACAAAGTGTACTAGGTGTAAAATGGACACCATGAGGTGTAGATTTTATCATGTGCTTGAACTTTTTTTCAGAACTAGAATAAGCAGATCTGTGATATTTTCAATTAGATGTAATTAGCTGAGGTGTATACAAAGTTCATATTGAAAACCTGGTTGATGGACAAAAATTGTTTTACTACATATGGAACAAGACCTAGGAATAAGTCATATTTTCAGATATTGGGGCAATACGTATTACAAATATGTGTCATGGATGGAGATAACATACATGGGCATTAACTGATATCATTAGTTAGAGCTTTTGATGTTTGGTATTTGGCCTAGTGCACATCTAAAATGGTTGAAATTTGAATTCTATGGTTACGACATGCCCAAGGGCAAATCTTCACATCTCCATACAACAACAGGTAACTGATATCTCAGAAAATCCTCTGTAGTTTTGTAGGGCTTTTACTGCAGCTTTGTAACTTTGTTGGAATAATTTCAGGAGTGTTCCCTCCTATACAATTGAATGTAGGCTTATGAAACATTAGTACCTGGTATGTGGGTTATAGAGGGAGATGGAGTGTTACGGGTAAAGTCACCATGTTCTAGGTTATGACCTCTGACTTCAAACAATTAAAATCAGTTTCAGAGCATTTCTCTTTTAAACTATTTCCCGTTTGATTGTCACGCCTAGAGGAAATGGGGTATTTTTCTCCATTACTGTTTGGTACTCTTATATAAACCAGAATTAGTTATATCTGATATGACCTAGTTGTCTGCAGTACTGTTAAGTTCACTGCAATATGACAGTGACAAGTCAGAAACAAAAATCATTACAACACCTGTGAAAGCAAAGGAAGCAATTAGACATATCTCTGTGAAAATTTGAAAAAACGTAATCCTGGTAGTATGATTTTTTTTGTCTTATAAAAATTTGCTAGGTTGACATCCCTGAATACTTTGAATGTCTGAAATAGTGATAAGATGAAGGAAAGAATTTTGTCAGGGGAGATAACCTAATCCAGGGAGGAAGACGTAGTAACAAGTTTTTATACGAGGTTAATTGATCTTGAACTTGTTAAATATATTGAAAGCGATTGTATATATATATGTGGTCTCTAAATCTGTAAGTTTATTAGACCTTAAATATCACCTAATGATTGTGCAATTATTTGCATAATATATACTACGGTATAGTATACACTGAAACACAGGGAATATGTTCTGGATAACTTCGGAATAATCAGAACGTTTAATGGATTGTCTGATAACTGATCAAACAGAGACATATGTCGTAAAAAATAAATTATTGGCTTACTAACTATAGGATTATAGTTGTTGACTATGGAAATATGATACTGTATACAGGTAAACTTTCGCTCCGTCAAACATTAGCCATTCACTAAAAGATCTATATTTGCCCAGTTTTAATTTCGCCCTCCTGGATGCAATTAATAAAATATATTATCGTACTTCCCAACCTTTTGGAAATTTCTATGGGGGAGATTATGTGTACTCGGAATAAAAAGCAAAAATTAAAATGTGAATATGTACACCATAGAGGAAAAAAATAACCCTTTTAAAAAAACATCTTTTGAGTTGTCTTTTCAGACGGAAATTTCCTGGTTAACAGTACACTGACTATAGTATTTTACTGGTACAATATGTAGTATGTTATTGATAATAGGATAGTTGAACACTGTTTTGCTTCATGTAGGTACTAGAAATGTTTTTGTTATCACTGTTGTCGTAAAAAGGCCAATGGTCTTGGCAAAGCTATGTATTTTGTTGTAATAACCATTGATGGTTATACAATATATATGTGTCTGCATGTGTATTAATGTCGTAAAGTAGCTACTTGTACCAAGGTGAGATGATGATTAGCCTATGTTTTCCCAATAATACCATAGTTTTTGCTTGTGTACAACTTAACAGAAATGGACCTTGTGGATTTGACAGAAAACTGCTTGTACCAGTGTTTTATTCTGACCATAGATTTTTAGTGATATGAATTGAATTGTCTAATAAAAGTATTTATCATTGGAAAATAACTCTGTTTTCTGTGGACAAATAATTATGATCAATCTCATGCTCAGACCAGACTTGGTACTTTTCTAGCTAATTTAAATATCAACATTGCCTTCTATACTACTTACTGACCAGGTATTTTCTATTTCTTGTCAACATCCAGCAGGCTTTATCTACTTTCAAAGTCACATTTAATTTTGATAATTTCAAACTTCTATCTAAAACCGCATTTGGTCTAGAGCTATAATATTTGGGTATGTTAATATGTAGACCAGTGGTGCAAATCTTTTTCTAACATAATTTGTTGAAGTCAATGGTCAACTTTGTTCCCTGGTTGAGTCAAAGGTCAACATGGGCTATAAAGGTAAGCAAATTTTAAACTTGTTTTCCTCAAGTTCAATTAAATAATGCACATGGTTTTGATATTTGACCAGTATATGTACCTTGAATGAAATGTTTATAAAGTTTCCTTGTATAAATGACCTTTGCTTACATTCAAGGTCATAAAGGTCCATTTGTCAATAACTTTCAAATGATTGAGATCCAACCCTATAACAGTTTGGTGCTTGCTGGGTATATGAAGAGACCAGAACAATCATGCTCCCAGGATTAGCCCATGAGTTTGTTGTTGCCGACCTGTGGGAGGAAGTCCCACAGTAATAACATGGTAACAATTGACCAAATCCTCAAGGTCACAAGCGTGAAATATGTTTAAAACTTTAAAGACTTCTGTATTAACCATAAGGCCTAGAATGTTGATATCTGGCCAGTAGTTAGGATAAAGGGCTACCAAGTTTGTTAAAATGAATGACCTTCACCTATATTCAAGGTCACAGGGGTCAAATTTGTTTAAAATCTTAAAACGACTTCTGAATAACCACGAGACCCAGAATGTTGATATTTGGCCAATAGCATGCTTGGATGAAGGGCTATCAAATCATTTGAGCGACCTTGACCCACTTTCATTGTAACGTTTGGTCAAATATTTTAAACCTTTAAATTACCTAATCTCAATAAACAAAAGGTCTAGGGTGATGATATTTGGCAAGTTACATGCTTAGATGAAGGGCTATAAAGTTTGTTCAACGTAACCTTGTTCAGCTTTCAAGGCCACAGGGGTCAAACGTTTTAAAATCTTTTAACAGGTTCTTTTGAATGACTTATAGTCATAAATACTGATATTTTGCCTGTAGCTTTATTTTAAATCCATGATTACCACCCTGTCTACTGTTTGTAACTTTTTAGCTCACCTGGCCCAAAGGGCCAAGTGAACTTATGGCATGGTGCGGCGTTTGGCGTCCGTCCGGCGTCAACTTTTTACTTTAAACAACTTCTTCTCAGTAACCAAAAGGCCTAGGGTGATGATATTTGGCCAGAAGCATGCTGAGACGAAGGGCTACCAAGTTTGTTCCAATAAATGACCTTCATCAATTTTCAAGGTCACTGGAGTCAAATATGTTAAAACCTTTAAACAACTTCTTCTGAATAACCAAGAGACCTAGTATAATGATATTTGGCCAGTAACATGCTGGAATGAAGGGCTACCAAGTTTGTTCAAATGAATGACCTTGAAACATATTCAAGGTCACTGGGGTCAAATATGTTGAAAACATTTAAACAACTTCTTCTGAATAACCAAGAGGCCTAAGGTGATGACATTTGGCCATTAACATGCTGGGATGAAGGGTTACCAAGTTTGTTCAAATAAATAGCCTTAGCCGATATTCAAGGTCACAGTGGTCAATATATGTTTAAATCTTTAAATGATTTGTTCTGTATAACCAAAAAGTCCAGGGTAATGATATTTTGCTAGAAGTATGCTGGGTTGGAAATCTATAAATTCTGTTCAACCTAATGTCCTTGTTTGACATTGAAGGTCACGGGTATCATATGTTAGAATATTTTAATAGGTTCTTATTAATCAAACACTGATATTCTGCCTGTAGCTTTATTTTAGATCACTTTAAAGTGTAAGATTAACAATGTTTACTTGTTTACAATTCAAAATCCATGATTACCACCCTGTCTACTGTTTGTAACTTTTTAGCTCACCTGGCCCAAAGGGCCAAGTGAACTTATGGCATGGTGCGGCGTTTGGCGTCCGTCTGGCGTCAACTTTTTACTTTAAACAACTTCTTCTCAGTAACCAAAAGGCCTAGGGTGATGATATTTGGCCAGAAGCATGCTTGGACGAAGGGCTACCAAGTTTGTTCAAATAAATGACCTTCATCAATTTTCAAGGTCACTGGAGTCAAATATGTTAAAACCTTTAAACAACTTCTTCTGAATAACCAAGAGGCCTAGTATAATGATATTTGGCCAGTAACATGCTGGAATGAAGGGCTACCAAGTTTGTTCAAATGAATGACCTTGAAACATATTCAAGGTCACTGGGGTCAAATATGTTGAAAACATTTGAAACAACTTCTTCTGAATAACCAAGAGGCCTAAGGTGATGACATTTGGCCATTAACATGCTGGGATGAAGGGTTACCAAGTTTGTTCAAATAAATAGCCTTAGCCGATATTCAAGGTCACAGTGGTCAATTACTCCAACAATGTTAGAGGTTTTAAACGGCGAAAAACTTTTGACAGGCGCCGCGTAACCTCTAACTGCCCATAGCTGATTTTCCCGATGCTGACGATCACATTTTCAAAGTTCGGATTAAGAAAGAGTATATCGTGTTTACATACATTTAAATGGTCAAAAGGGTCCAAAACATAATATTTTCCATAAATCCATGATTATATTGGAAAAATTTCGTGTCAAAGACATAAATAATGAGTTTTTCCTCATTCGAAGCGAAGCAGACAGCATTTGCCATGATTTTTCCGGTTAATACAAAAATGGATTACATGTAATGTTTCACAAGCGGAATACAAACAAACTCCGTATCATTTCGTTCCGTTTGAAATCCCCCCTGCTATTTTGTATTAATCCAGAAGCCACGTTTTAAATGTAGGTCAGAGATGTGCGACAACGACATGGACATGTATTTTGAGTGTTCTAGTCCGTAATATACTATATATTGTGTCTGTGGCATACATATGAGATCTATATTATATAAACCGTGAGAAGACATCGTTGTCATGAACTGTTAACCACTTAAGTGAGTTTTTCAAGTCGATTTTGTTCCGCCCGGATTTCGGGCGGAAACTGCATCAAAGAATTAGTGCTTCGGAAATGAGAGGTCGCAGTCGGCAAAATCATATCCGATTGGAAAAAGGCCGACCAGCGCCCTCTCATGTTATGGGAGTAAGTGGTCAATATATGTTTAAATCTTTAAATGATTTGTTCTGTATAACCAAAAAGTCCAGGGTAATGATATTTTGCTAGAAGCATGCTGGGTTGGAAATCTATAAATTCTGTTCAACCTAATGTCCTTGTTTGACATTGAAGGTCACGGGTATCATATGTTTGAATATTTTAATAGGTTCTTATTAATCAAACACTGATATTCTGCCTGTAGTTGTATTTTAGTCCACTTTTAAGATAACAAGTGTGAAATTAATACCAGGTGAGCAATTCAGGCCCATTTGGCCTCTTGTTTTTAAATTCCACCAGATTGATTTTAACCGAAATTGACTAGTATTCAAATTTGTAGTGACAAAGTGTTAATATTGTTATTGTTTGCGTTCGGCTCCTGTCTTCATAATGTCCAAAACAAGCAATTGTTCAATTCGCTCAAATAAAATGCTCGGAAATATTTTCAACTTCTTGTTCAGATATCAAACAAAAATAGGTCAGCATAACAGCCCCATAAGGCCTCATTTTATTGGCATGGACACATATCAATGAGTGTTTATCAACATAAAACAAACAAACAAATCTTTCTTTCTCTGGTTGCACCTGCATGTCAGCTACATGGATAAATATTGTATATATATATATAGAACATATAGCACAGGCAAAGATGGCCAATGTAAGAGTTCAATCTTTGTTGAGAGCTGATAACTGGTAGACGTACCCCATGCAATTACATATTACATTACCATGACTTTGTAGTCAAATAAGAAAAGGAAGACAATAATTCAATGAATGCAGTCAAAATTTGTACTTACATAACATGCACAGTGTTTACATGATTGATAATAAGTCAGCTAGGTCAATAATTACTGGATAATTATAGATGAAACAGCAGCAACAGCAAGGTGACAGCAAGGTGACAATAAATTGAAGAGGTATATGGACACTTGTATGTATTCTATCTTACTGTTTGCCAAATAAATACATGCCACTATTCCTTGCATTCTACCTTTAAAGTTTCAAAAACTAAGAAAGGATATAAGGATCCCTGAACCACTGCAACAAAACTTTAACTATTGCCAGACTTTGAAAAAAACCTTATCACAATGAAATCAAATCAAATCTGCAACAGTGCTTCGAGTATAAAAAATCTGCAGGGCCAGACCACGATTCTAACCCTGGACTGTTATACTATCGCTTTGACCCTCTGAGCTACCCAGTCAATAGAAGTGTCCTGGTCCACCTGTGATACAGTTATTCCCAACATGATATTAAAGGGAGGGTACTGAATATAAGAAAAACCATAGTGCAGTGGGACAGGGGATGGCAAGCTAGATTACAGACAGAACTCGTCTAGAAATTCTCTGATGCCAGATACACACTGTAACCTGTCTAACATATTTGTTGGATAAGACATGTTGTCAGAATTCAAAGGTTTTATTGGGTATTTTTTATCAGATCATATTCGAATTCAAATAGGAATATGACTATGACAGGACGTCACCAATACTTTGGGATCAGAAACGATATGCCGCACTGTACATCAAGATCAACACAAACTTTCAGCAGTAAATTTTCACAAATAACACTACTGGTGATTAGCCTCTCTCCCATGTTAAACAAATTCTGCAAAACAGTCCGGTATATCAGATTTTAGTTTGCCCCCTCCCAAAATAATGTAGCGAAACTTGACTGGGTCGATCATCGGCGACCAAATAGCTCATCAGGTATAGCAACCATCTAGAGTTCGGAGGGTCCCGGGTTTGAACCCAGGTCTGGCTGTGCATTTTTCCTCTCCCGTTACATTTGGCGCCTAACGAAATATATGTTAACGTGAGACCCTAGGGTTTTTGAAATGTCGGTCAATTCAACCCTTTTTGGCCCCACCCATCAGCCCCGGGGGTTCAGTCAGGGCTAATATGTGCATACCATCAAACTGCTATCCAATACTGATAATGATATCCCAAATTGAATTACTTCCAATAGAAATTAAACAAATGTTGGTCCAAAATGTGATTTCCCTATATAAACTATAGTAAAGTTTACCCCCTACCCAGGGGTAAAAGTGAGACCCCAGGGTCATGAAATTCACAATTTTAGTAAAGCACATTAAGACCCTTCCATCTATGAAGAGTATTTGATTCTACAATATCTTGGGTCTTGAGAAGAAGAGTTTTAGGTCACCTGAGCTTTAGCTCAAGTGACCTATTGCTATCCGTCTTTGTCCGTCGTCATCCGTCGTCAATCGTCTGTTAACATTTTACATTTTCAACTTAAGCTGAAATACTGGCAAAGGGATTTCATTAATATTTCATGGGAAAGTTACTGACATCTCCCTGACCAAGTATTTTTTGGGTCGATCAGAAATTCAATACGGCCGCCATTTTGAAAAACTATTTCAAACTTAAAGTCAAGTTCTGCTGGGCCGATTGAACTGAAACTTTGTAGGAATGATCGCCTCATGGTCCTGACAAAGTGTTGTTATTTTTTGGGTCGATCAGAAATCCAATATGGCCGCCACGGCCGCCATTTTGAAAAACTATTTCAAACTTAAAGTCAAGTTCTACTGGGCCGATTGAACTGAAACTTTGTAGGAATGATCGACTCATGGTCCTGACAAACTTAAGTTAACAATAAAACTTATGCTTAACTATTTTGTACTCAAATTGGTACATATTTCAACAACAAAAATAAATATTGTAGGACTCAGGTGACCATTTAGGCCCATGGGCCTCTTGTTGAAATTTCAGTCAATTCAACCCTTTTTTGCCCCACCCATCAGCCCCAGGGGGTAAGTCAGGGCTCATATGTGCATACCATCAAACTGCTACCCAATACTGATAATGCTAACCCAAATTGTATTACCTCCAATGGCAATTAAACAAATGTTAGTCCAAAATGTGATTTCCCTATATAAACTATAGTCAAGTTTACCCCCTCCCCAGGAGGAAACGTGAGACCCAAGGGTCATGAAATTCACAATTTTGGTAAAGCACCTTAAGACCCTTCTATCTATGAAGAGTATTTGATTCTACCATATCTGGGTCTTGAGGAGAAGATTTTTGAAATTTTAGTCAATTTGACTCTTTTTGGCCCCGCCCATCAGGCCCCTGGGGGCTGGGGACCAAACCGGCCACTCTTTTTGTTGAACTTTGGCCATGGAAGGTTTCTGCAAAATTTCATTGAAATTGGTTCAGGGGTTTTGGTATTTTTTGAGAAGAAGTCGAAAATGTAAATTGTTTACGGACGCACGACGGACGACGGACGCAGCCGGACAAAAGGCGATCGCAATAGGTCACGTAAGACTTTTGTCTCAGGTGACCTAATGAAGCATTGGACCAACTGAATACCCATAAGGATGAAAAAGGGTTTGTCCACCACTAAGAGTTTTGAGGCTTTTGCTCGACAAGAGAGAACTGAATTGGCTGATGTAACACTCAACACGTTTATTGTTTAATCTGACCTTTGACCAAGTCAGAGATACAGTCACTATTCATTGGATTCTGCTCTTGTGACATCTTGTGAACACACATACCGGTATGCATGATAATGACATAAACATGGCCTCAACCCTGCTTCTGGTAAGAGAAGTAGCCGTCGGGAAAATAATTCATCAAAATTTAAAAATCTTTTCAAACTTATACACTTACAGTATTTATGGAATTTTATGACTGCAATTTTACCACAGTTTTTTTTGATAGATTTGTGGTACGGTAATTTTAAAATGATAAAATCTCCCAAACATAGAATGCAAAAGTTTGATTTCATGTACATGCTCATATAGAAAAATACTACACACTTATGTTACAGCATGAGCATTGAGATACATACACGAAAATATGATTTTTTTTACTTAAATTTGTGAAATTCTCTTCACACTTGAATGGCCTGATATACAGTATTGCACTTCACAACGGAAATTTTGAACAAATTTTTATAATAATATCAAACAATTCCATCATATGACAGGTAATAATATTACATTGCATAAGACTTCCATCTCAACACTACTGTATGACGGTTGTCTCATTCACATCTCTCTCACAGTCCATCAATGATATATACTCCACTTCACTGCAAGTGCCTGTAATTTTAATACAACCAGTCGATAATGTCCAAGGTTGACAAAATATATGCTACATGTTATATAATTCTATGTTTTATTCCGCTGTTGTTTAATTTAATATTTTGCCAATCACAATTTAAATGTTTGGTGTCTCAAAGGACTGCCTCAGACAATTAATGAATTTTCTCACTGTCCATGAAAACAGGAAATTATCCACCTTGTAATATCTTCATTTAGCCAGCAGTACAAATGGTTTACTCTCGTCAACCTTGTTAGCACGAATGTGAAAGGCTGGTGCTACCCAGGCTCCACAGGGACATTTCTCCCCTGAAATCAAATCAAAGTCTTGATAGAATACCAGGTTTTTCTCACTTGTAATAATATCAATAATATCAGAATATTGACAAATTTATATCAAGTTTCTGGAAGTTCTGTACTTTCAAATCTCTATGCCTAGATCTCTATACATAGTGACATCACCATACATCCTACAGGGTAAAAAACTTGAAAAACACCTAAGTATATCATCTGTATGTTACACACAGAACTATCCTACACCACCATCTGTCAACCTACGCCAACGTCTAACACCTACGTATATCATCTGTATGTTACACACAGAACTAGCCTACACCACCATCTGTCAACCTACACCAACGTCTAACACCTACGTATATCATCTGTATGTTACACACAGAACTATCCTACACCACCATCTGTCAACCTACACCATCGTCTAACACCTACGTATGTCATCTGTATGTTACACACATAACTACCCTACTCCATCATCTATCAACCTACACCACCGCTATAGCTACCGCCTATGTCATCTGTAGGCCAAACATCGAACTCCCCTACTCCATCATCTGTCAGTCTATGCTGCCCTCTACGACCTTTAGCAGAATAAATACAGGTTCAGCGCAAGGATCAGAGAGGGACATACCTGTTAACAAACTATTAACGAAACCTGTCGGGTAACAATTGGTTTTCCCCACATACGTGTTGGGAAGATCACTTCAATTTTTGGTCATTTTTTACATAAATTTACAAAGATTGAGATCCAAACAAAGAAATGCCTGTTATTATTGCATCATAAAATATTCATTGGTCATGTCCATCATTGATTACGATTTGATCACAATACCCTACACCACCATCTGTCAACCTCAACCACCCTTCAATACCTACATCATCTTTAGGGCCAAACATCAAACTACCCTACTCTACCATCTTTCAACTTATGCCATCCACTCATATATTTGGTCAAAACCTGTTATCAAGTGCTGACCTCATTTTTGTATCAACTTAGTACTTATTATAAGTTTATACAAAAAGAATTCCAAATCTAGAAGCAAAACATCTAATATCTACCCTTAAATACTTCTAACAGAAATAATATAAATCTTTTAGTATCATACCTAAAGTGATGCTCAAAATCATTTGAATTTCTTGAATATGTTGTTCACAATCATACTTTGTGAAGACTAGTATCCATGAAGACATGTATATCATGTTCAAAAAATTTAAAATATTAAGGGGGTACTAGCTATTAGCTACCCCCTAGCTAGTAGGGGGTATTAAGGGGGCACTAGCTATATAGCTCGACACCCAGGGTTAGCAGACAAGTGAAAATCATATTTTTATTTCAAAGGAAATATAGCTCAGACTGGTAAAATTTCACAAAAACAGCCTCTGTGTTGGTGCTTAAACATATACTAGAAAAATATAAAATTGTATATCAAGGAATATGCAATATTTCAAAGCATTACATATCTGATACATTCTTCACAAATTTACGTAAAAACAATTTTCTCATGAAATAAAATAAACATGTCCAATGGAAGCAATTCATATTATATACATATTATACTGATTATCTGATAGTTTAACAGGACAATACTTGAACCAATACTTACCATGCCATACAAATGATCCAATTTTAGAATTACACTTTGGACAAGACACCTGGGGAAAAAAAACACAAATAAAAATGTTATAATCATCATATCCTTTCAAAGCCTGAGCAAGGCCCCTGTAGAGGCTATCTGAATGGTGCTGACTATATATAATGATACACAATGGCAAGGTAAAATCAAAATTTTAAAGTCGCCATTTCTGGACATTTTTTGAAGATTTCTTTTTTTAATTTGGTACATCTAATTATACTCATCGTTATAAAGTTAAATCTCAATATTATGGCCCTTGTTTCACTTGCTACTCTGCTGAATTACTGTCAAAGTATTTGCACCATACTACCTTTTCCCCTTTTCTGCCATTTCCTTTACATATCTCTCTTAATATATCACTAAATATTTAGATACTATCAAAATTTCATTGGATAAATGAAGACATGTTACACGATTTTACTCTAAAATCAATTCCACTGTCCTTTATGTAAATTCAAGTAATTGAACTTCCAAAACTGCAATCAGTATTTCCAATAACTTTAAATTTTGAGGGGGTTCACATTTATAGTTGAACCACGAGGTTTTCCTGAAGTGAAATTTGAACATTCAGAGGTTTACAAGAATTATGAATTTGACAACTCAATGAATAAACTTCTTTGGATAACAATTACTTTAGAATCTGAGTATAATAGCAATACTTGGCTTGTACCTTGCCCACAGGTTCCGATATAGATTCAGCCATCCACCGTACTGGTTCTATGAATAGGGATTGGGTACAGACAGTAGTACTCTCTCTGCCTTCAACTGTCTCTTTCTTATTGGATGGGATCTTACTTCTCCAATCAAAGGCAGCTTCTCCCTCACCAACATTGTGTGAAATTAAACCAGACTTTTTAAATAAAGCCTGCCTGTAAACACCAATAAAAACTTTGGAACATAGATTAGATAAAAGATCATCCTGGATATATCATACTATACAGTTTACTATCAAAGGCTATTTCAGGTCAGAATATTTCTCCACCATATAGGCAGAATATAAAATGGTAGGCAAGTCTTTTAAGTGGAAAGAACTACATTAAAATCTGCATCATGAAATATAAATTAAAAAAAAGCACCACTGAGCAATGCTAATATCCTGATCAGTGTAGAAGTGAATGAATTGCATTTATTTCTATTTATAGAAATGGTGTCGTTGACTTTAAAACTTTGAACCTGAAAAGCATTCTCAAGCAAGCTCACTCTGTAAGGAAGCAGCATGTGAAATATAAGCATTATCAACCCAAGGGAACTGGAGTTGTTGAGCAGAAATCTTTTTCTTCTCTATAGTAACAGTGATTTTGACCTTTTACCTTTAGATCTGAAAAGCAATCCTAAGCAAACAGTTGTCATAATGAAGCAGTGTATGAAATTTTAGTGTTACACGGTCAGGGGAATTAAAGTTATTGTGTAAAATCAAACCATCTACTTATAGTAACAGTGGCTTTGACCTTTAACATTTGGACCTGAAAAATAATCCCAAGTAGGCCCTTCCTGTGAAGGTCAAAAGAAGGTTTGAGCAGGTTTGGCCCACACAAACTCAAATAATTGTGCAGAAATTGAGGTGGGACAGACAGAGTGATTACAATTTCTCTTCTCAACTCAATCAGGGCGTCGAAAAAAATCTTGGTGATACCCTCAAAAACAGGCGGTCTTCTATTGGGTGAGAATATCTTTTAATAAAATAGCCCTCGGTCAGTTCACTCTTGATCTTCTGATTTTAAATCTGAGTAAAGTCAAATTAACGGGACCATTACCTGCATTTCCGACATTTGTAGACTATATCTGCCTTGTTATCCGAATCTGATGGATTAGCTGTCAGCTCCTCTGGACTGAAAGTTTCACCTACTGTAAACCGAATTAGTAGAAACATATTACTATTCCACACACAACATTCTTACACACTGTCATAAACTAAATACTGTATTTGACCTAAAAAAAAAGGTGCATGCTCTAATAAAGACGCCCATCCTTTTTCTGAAAACAAAAACCAAGGTCATGATGACCAGTCATCTTTATTAGGAATTGTAATGGATGCAGGCTTTAAGCCCTGTATCGTTTCAGGAATATTTGGAAATATTTGGAAAAATACAAGTTGCATTAAACTGAAAATTCACAAAAAATTTAAATGCATTACCGAAGTATTATACTATAAACACAAATAAATGACACCTGATTTTAGATTGCTTAAAGCATTCAAGAGGACCACTTATTGTGATTTGGTAGTACATTTGTAAAAAGACGGGAAATTTACAGACAAAATACAGGGTAACCGAGCTCTCTTGAATGGAATATGGCTTTCCAGTAAAATTCCTGTGTAAACCCATATTGGCAGTTTGAATGTGCTGCAAAAAACAAGGAAAAGTCACCAATTTTGCATGGTCTACTGAAAGGAGTCAAGGTGGTGTGATACTATTCAGACAGGAACTCACCAGACCCCCTATATCTGGATGGAACCAGAAACAATGCATATTATAGTTTAATACTAAATGATTTGGCAACTCCTTGCAGTCAAGTACACGGCAGTATTATCTCTTTCATTAAAAGACAAGTAGAAATCAGAAGTGTTGATTTATAATAAAGTTGCCCTAATAGGGCTGTTTTGTGGTTGGACGCTCGGAAAATAACAGAGAATTGTATAGTTCACAAATAATATGAAAATTTGTCAACAAATATTGGACCCCATGCTCAGATACAGATACTTCCTCCGGCTAGAGATGATGGGGTCATATTTTGTCTGACTTTAATAAATATTGCTGAAGCAGTCCTACCATTTTTGCATCTTTGACAGCATCCCCAGAGTTCGAGAAAAAGGTTGTATTCACTCACTGTTACCCAGCTACAAATATATGCATACATCCTATAGCATACCTGGGGTAATTGTTAGTATATAATTTGTAACAGAAAACTCAAAATAAACGTGACTTAATAAGGGCGCCCATTCTCTCAATTACTCTCGCCCTGCACCCTTTTTAGGTCAAATACAGTATTTGTAGCAAACACCACATCATAAAAATTATATGGTTAAATTCAAAATACCTTATACATGTTTAGAGATAAAAAGTAAATTTGTGTAATAGCGTTTGTCACACCGGATTTAAAATCAAATTATGTTAAAGATAAGATAGCGATAGGGAAACTTACAATCATAGCTGTGAATTTTTAAAGCCAGTTTTTTGAGGCGATATCGTCGAAATCTTTCATTGGTTGTATCAATCTTATTCTCCATTTCTTGATATAGGAGAAGCTGTTCTTTAAATCCTTCATTAGGGCTGTAAGTGGCAAAAATACACATATTATAAAGGGCTATTAAAATGTTGATTTACTGTACAAATTACACAAACAAGTGCTGTTTAAGATTTATATATTCCATTCTGACAACAAAATTGTTCACCGCTCTTAAAAAATTTATCTCAATATTCCGATTAATCAATCCGTCTTGTGTTGTCTGGTTAGGCCATGCAACTTGATTTAAACATATTTTTATTTGCATCTAATATACAAAAGGGATTGGGCACAAGTTGTCCAACTTATGTAAAGCCCTTTCCCAATAACATAATGAAATATATATATACAAGATGGCAATTTTTAAATTAATTAATATTTTCGATTAAGTTTAGTGTTACTGAGAGAGAGAGGGGGAGAGAGAGAGAGAGAGAGAGAGAGATAGAGAGAGGTGGGGGGGGAGAGGGGGAGGTCATAGTTCCCATGCAACTGATTAGCTGAAAACAGATTCCATGATTGATTTTAGTTGTTAAATTCTGTGTAGATGTTACGGGATTCTCAGTGCAAGGTGACATTATTTCAAGCTTATTTCTGTGTCATTAACGCAGAAAATTGCTCTAAGTGCTAGTGTTTAGCGGCTATGTGGGTTTAAAACTGTATCTAGGACTTGTTCCATCTAGTCACTATTACAAGACCAGGCTCTGTTAAAACTAGCTTGTTACCATTACTTGGTAGGTCATCATTGTTATCTCCCAAAAATGTTAACTGATTAATGATTATTAGCCAATCATCGGTTAATGAAGAGAAATCAATTCTCATGAAATTTCAACTGATTTTTTTAACACTAAATTTACTGTATTTTGGTCTGGTGAAATTTCTGCTCGATGACAGAATTGGACAGAAAAATCCCTTTTCACCCTTCACATTAAATTACTATTATACTATGTTGTTAAAAATAGTTTGCTGTAATAATAAATTTGTTAATAGTATAATACTATTATACCATGTTGTTAAAAACTGTTTGCTGTAATAATAAATTTGCCCCCATTACTGAGGGTGAAGGAGGCAGAAATTAAACTGCAGTAAACATTTCCCAGTGTACAATATATCACCTTAACCACATAAGCATTATCCATGTTAGAAATCTCAATAAATTCAGAGTTCAAAATATACAGTGTAACCTATCAACAAACTTAATAATATAGGAGGTTGGACAACATGCAATGAAATATATTCAAATGTTTAACTAGTGGTTTACCATTTCAAGTCATATACATGTAGCCCACAGGCAGGGTTTTGAACAAGTAATTACAGCCCTACCTATATTTTTAAATATTGTTTATTTTCACAAGCCCCGACATAAAACTACAAGCCCTGGGCACAAGGCTACTGGGAATTGTACCAGTAATCTGTTACTTACAACATTGCCTTCAAATAATGCTCGCTAAAAAATAAAACTTTATTTATTTTATAACAATTATGATACTTATAAGTTTCCTTGATAAGTTATTTCAGCTTATATCAATCACTCCTGTCGGCCCGGATAAGCATGCAGGGGGTCTTAATGTGGGAGGAAACTAGAGTACCCGGAGAAAACCCACGTGGTCAGGCAGGTGACCCATACAATCCAACCAAGCGAATGTTCGTTAACGTTAGTGTGTCAGTGTTTTATATACTTTTCTTTCATTGTGTCTATATTTATGAGGTTTGCAAAAGTTATTTAAAACTGATTTACTTACTGAACTATGGATCTGCTCCGACGGACTATTCCCAGCGCCTCACCATACCCCATCTGTTTCTTTTTCATTATGTACGCAATCACCATGGTAGCACTTCTAGAACAGCCTGCCAAGCTGACGAAAAAAGATTAAATTTAATGAAGCCCATCAATGTCTCAAATTCTTTTTTTTTTCATTTATTTGTGAGGTGTAAATTTATGGCAAATGAGCATGTTCATCAAGGCAATTGATTACCACAAATTAAGTTAAAAAATGTTTTATAGCTATGAAATTGCAAGAAAACCTGAGAATATAGTATAATACATTAATATCCATAACATGTACATGCCTTAAACCAAAATGTGTTGTTATTGCGTACATACTTGCTTGTGTTGGTGTTTATCATCTGCATTATGGATATGAAAATTTGACAGGTCTGAAAGACATAATATATAAAAAAAATTGCACTTGGTTTCATTACATAATATACTCACCAGTGTACCAGAACTGAACCATATCTGATCCCTTCATCAATGAACTTGATGCATTCTTCAAAGTAGTTAAGCAGGTCTGTGAACTCGAGATCAAACCCATGAATGAACTTGTACTTGAACTGTTCACTAACAGACTTTGGAAGAGGCGAGTTATTCACTGTCAATATGTGTGTTATTCCCCTTGCCTTTAGTCTGATAATATCTTTTGCTGCACTCCAACTTCCCAGATATAGATTTGGAAATTCAGGAAGGATCTCATTAATATCTAACACAGTCTCGGCCATTGTTTTGATTTAAATTTCCAACCTGCGAAAAACAAAACAGATTGAATTGTGCATGTACATATATGTATTTACAATCACCACACTAGGTTATTACTAGCACATTAATTTGATACAAATCTATAAATGTATTTGGTTTTTGAGTCATATATATAGTTGACCATTCAGCATCATTATACATTAGCATATTTACACATTTTTCATACATATTATGATTGATATATGATTACGTAAATTGAGTTTCAAATTCATGACAAAATATATATCATGAATCAAGTGATTATAACACTTTCTATTCGTGTGCCTTTCTAGGGGACAAACTGGCTAACAAGTGTTCAGCCTGTGTTTCTAACTATTTTTCAGAGTAGACCACACCACATGCCATAGGCCACTTTCCCTGTCCCTTTTCTATAACAGTAGTATATTGAACTCAAGGACAAACAAGTGTTGAATACAGCTTCAGCCTGTGTTCCAAACTTAGTTTTTAAAGAAGACCTTGGTTACAATTTCAATACACAACACTGACGTCTGTCATCAGTCACTTTCGTGACTACATTTAACATCAGTAACATGTTCACCTCATAAAAACATAAAAGGTTAATCAACATATATCAAAACAGATGAACGTTCATTCTTACGTATTTGTTGATGATGGTCAAGAGTATGATGTTGCCGTATTACTCACTGTTTCAGTAATTATCAAGTTATATTGTGGAAGTGACTTATAATTGTGCAACATTGGGCGCCGACATCTTGAAAAAGAGTTATACAAGGGCAATAACTCTGACGTAAAAAACAGAAACGTGTTCGTTTGTCACTGGTGCGATTCATACATTAAATATTCAAATATAATCTCTTCGTCCTGGCCTTCCAGAAGGTACTGGGCTACATACGCACATTCAATTGTAGTATCAGAAAAAGAGAAATTGTGACTCGCGGATCTTTACGAGTTTGATAAAAACCATGTCTGATCTTGATTGATAACGTTTCCCAACACTGTTTGATGCGACGTGAAATTACCACAGATGCTATTTTATATCTCATAGGTATCTCATGGGTAAGACATCAATGGACAGCCTGTGGCTTGTAATGATGTTATTAATCTGCATTTCGTTAATTGATTTGTTGATGATGGAGTGCGCGAAGAATGGCATACATTGTATGTAATTAATTATATCTAGACGTATATTTACACATCGTAGATTAATAGGACGGATACCATTTGTGTGCATAATCTTTCCAGTGAACGTTTAATCTATTTTAAAACTATTCAAACTTTCTGCATTAACCACTTCAGCATCATCACATTCATGAGAGGGCGATATTGCATATTTTCACCCCAAGGAAGCATTGTTAACCGAGGCGAAGCCGAGGTCAACAATGCTTTCCGAGGGGTGAAAATATGCAATATCGCCCTCTCATGAATGTGATTTTTATTTTATTATACCGAGTGTCATGTTTAGGTGTTTCACCACTTCACCATTTTTTAAAGGTCCTTGTGTTGATTTGACATAAACCAAGACTTCATCTCAACAGTTGTCGAATGAAGCAACCATGAATGTGATTTGATAACACCCTGGCACTGGGACGAACCGTGCACGCATACGTTTGGCGCATGTGATATTTTTTTGGAATGTCACCCTGTCTTCTTTATCTTTGTAAATTGTAAAACGAGCAAGTAACATTGAAAATGTTCACATCTTTCTCAACCAATCGGATTACGAGATTTTAACAGAAGGTATAATAAACTAAACTAGTTCAAAGACTGCCGAGCGTAGAAAGCAAGAATGTATCGTATGTTATTTCCATTGTCAAACAGTTCGAGTGAGGCATAGATTAGGTTTCTGAGTTTGCGGTATTATTCCAGGTTATATTTTATAACATAGAGTATTGATATTTTGTGATGGCCGAGCGGAGCGAGTGTTAACAAATTCTCTAAAACAATGGTAAAATGTAGGTTTTTGGTTAAAATGTTGATGTTTGTGTCATGTCCTTCATGTGCATGTAGTTTAGGCAAGCATTTTGGCAATTAAATATTGATTTATTTTGTCATAAATATGAATTATGATTTAACTGTTTGACTTTTGTTGTGAATTTGTACGCATACATATGTATATTTTTTAATTGGTACAATAAATCACCATGTGTACATGAAACCACAGGTGAAAATACAGTTATATCTATCATGAAATAGACTCTACCTTTGAAATAACACTTTCCCTATATACCTAATTCCAACAGATGATATAGTCCTCTCTCAACGGACAGAGTGATCACCACCCCGTGACATTAGAACAATAAGATTAGGTAGAGTCAGTCCGGTCAGCCTTGACCACTGATCATGATCTGACTGGAGACCCTACTGATATATAGGCAATAGAGGATTAATTATTCCCCTTTTGTTTAGAGTATAAGTAGTTATATAGTGGACTTGGTAAAGGTTATTTAATCATAAATGATTTTCGAGTAACAAGGGATTTATTACACCCGAGCGAAGCGAAGCGAGGGTGTAATAAGTCCCGAGTGAAGAGAAATCATGCAATAACTGGCTTACTGTATGCTTCCCAACTCGAACAAAACAGAAAAATTGAGTAAAAAAAAATCACCTGGACAATCTTTTTACCTACTCTACACTGCAGATAATTTACATGTACCTGTCTGAGTGAGTACTAATCAGAACCAGGTAAGTTTGTCTTTATTCTCAATAGCCCAGTCTGAGTGTATCCTTCATAATGGATACAAGTGTTTTTGCATTACTATATCCAGCTCCAGTGTCAGGGAAGGTAAGGAGTGTCTGTTCAACAATAAGAACAAAATACGGGAAACAATGTTGAATTTCTGACTACATTTTCAGTTTAATTTTCAAGATGTGGCAAAGGTACAGGATATTGAAACCATTTTCATACATACAATGTAAGGGTTTATCAATCTCTAAGGAATTCCAGTTCTTTCAATGAATGGTATATTTGAATGTGCAATTTTGTATAAAGAAATAGCTCCTAAAGATTATAAACTTTTCCAGGAAATGCTTATCATCTAACGTGATAAGGAAATCAATAACGCTGCCAACTCAGTCATTTTGTTTGTTTGTTTTTCAATCACGAAATTAACATTTTTTAACTTCTTCTTTTTTTTATCAGAAACAAAGTAATAAACATTTTAGCTTATTTTTTATAATTTATTTAAACAATCACAAACAATTGAACTTACCACTGATTATAATTCTTTAACATCTCAAAAAAGCTGTTTTGATCTCAAGCTTGCTGTTAGTGTTTAAGAAAAATGTTGAATCAAAATTTTATGAATGAAACGATATATTTCATAATATTGAGTGCATTTAAAGTAAACGTTTTGACTCCTCATAAAACCTGAATCGTTCGACCTGGTACCAGTTCGTAAGTTATGCAGACTTATACATCATATTGCAGATGACTCTTTTGAAATATAGTCACGAATTTGTCTGTGTTGTATGCATTTAAGTAATATCTAAACGACACAATATTCATCTCTCATAGTGGCATTGAAAAAAAACTTCTTTGGGGAGAGTTTATCTCTCTCAGTGTGGTTACTTCTTACAGAGGCAACATGCATTAACATTGCTTCAGGAATGTGTTTTTAGACAATTACCAAAACCTCTTCAGGCAAACATTGAGCATGATAGAAGGTTATATGTTAACTGCAACTGGTGAGCCTACTCTGGTTTTAGCTTTTCTACAGGTAACAATAGAATTGGGCGACGTTGTGCTCAAATGGAAAGTTTGGTTTGCTAACATAAAAAATGAAGACATACTTGGAAAGATTTCTTGGGTATAGATTATCGGAAACTTAACAGTGTTACTGTAAAGAATAGTCACACCATTCCGTGGAAAATTGAACAGGTTCAACAAGTTCTCAAGTGCCTCCATGAAAAGGAGTTACAATGCAGTTGAGAAATCCAAACTATACCGTGAGGCTGACTGTGCTTGGCTGCATAATTATGTTGGGGTAATCGGAGTATGTCATGAATAGCTGAAACCCTGGAAGGGGACCATTTGTAGTCATCAAGAAACTCAGTGACTTAACTTACCGGATTCAAGAAGCATCAAGATCAAAAGCGAAGGTTTTTCATTACAATCGTCTTAAACCATATGCAGGAGACCCACCAACTAACATAAGTAGGGTTCTAATACATCTGATTGATAATTCTGTAGACAATCTTGCAATAAATGACCGTTATGAGAGCCACTTGACTTCTACTGACTCTAGTAACAATATGTCTGCTGTATCCAATGATAATACAGAGGGCCTGCCAACTCTAATGGACGTATCTGGGGATCAAATCATGGTACTGCTGGAGAAATGGTTACTTCAATCCCTATTGGTTTAACCGAAGGGGTCGGCGCATACGCCGAGCACAATGCGTTGCTGACATGGATAATTTGTTCTGCATTACGTCGGAGGGGGATAATGTAAAATACAAATGTATATGTGTTCCTGAGCAGAAGGGATACATAGTCGGTGAACAAGAGGTGATCAACCAATTTCAACAAAATGTTATAACGGATGTGAGGGTGATGAGTCCGTTCGTGAATATGAACGCTTATGCAAGGAAAAGGCCTGGCCTGGCCACGCCTTACACGCGTCCAGGGCGCCAGACCAACTCAAGATCAAATTCAGGACGATCAACAGATCCGCAGCCTCCATCTATTTCTAGGAGATGGACATTCTAATAGCCAGAGTGAAGCAACGGATAAGGGTCCATGTTCGTCCCAAACTGAGTCGATCCCTTGTGGTTTATTTTGTGAGGGAAAGATCAAGGTCAAGGACAAAGTTAAGATCAAGGTTGAAATCACCAATACTCTCGGGGACGATGAAGGAGAGCTGTGTGACCAGTGCTCCTCCATCAAATGATGGCTTATCATGTTAGTCGACCTACGGTACATTGTTTGTTCCAATTGATACGACAGAGGAAGGTTTCCTTCACAGCACAGTCCCTAACAATCAGCGGGTGGAGGAAGAGAGCTATGATGGACCGGTGTAGCACTATACGAAAGGCAGCCGTTACACTTTAAGTGGGAGGGAAAGTTTTACGCACATCCCTTCCAAAGCCACAAGCGGATCCAGAGAGTGCTTTTACAGCTATGACAGACGAGAGATTTGGGTATCGAGGGGAGAAGCAATTCTTTATTGACAGGGATCCAACTTACTTTTAATACATCCTAAATTACATGAGGAATCGGTGCTCAGTGGATCCTGAAACCTTGCCACGTGAGCGTAGTGTTTTGAGGAAGATGACCCAGGACGCCCTGGAATACAAAAGTAATCTGCTTGGATCAGAAAAAGTCCTAAAGAGACACATGGAGAAGGTATCGTTCATATAGTATTGTGCGTATTCATATAGGAACACTGTTCATTTAGGGATGTTATTTATTCGCCGCGGACGTTACGCGTTTACATCAATGTCAAAAAATTTGGTAAGACTCTTATTGTATTTGTGTTTTTCTTTTATTATGATTGAATTGTTATTAAATCTAAGTAATGACATAATTGGCTAATAGTGTAGCAGGATTTCCTTGTTGACTTATCATGATGTGCCGATATTTTACATCTTTAGTTACTGCTACTTAAGAGTATTTTTAGTTATTAAAATGTACAACACACATATTGTAAACTGTCGTATGCTACAACACTGCCCTGTCGTTCCAGTGGCTGGCTTGCAGTGTCATGCTTGATTGCCTACCTTGGCTCATGCATGTGCATCAGGGGCCCAGAGTCAAGA